GTCGTATATCCCAACACAGCTAAATCCGACAAAATATAACCCCTCCACACCCCTCCACACCCCACCTCTACCTCCTTCACCACTACTTCAAGCCGCCTCATGTATTTGTGAGTCTCATATCTAAAAGGCCATAAGGCCATATTGACTTTAGAATTCCCAGGAATTTCACAAAATCCCAAGTCCCCTGGGATCTCTCTCGACGCTTCATAGAATATGGCTTCCCTTCCAAAGGATACGCTGCACTTCCCAGCTGAGCATCGACCATTTCTTGAGCCTCGCCTACCCCCCAAAGATCTCCCACATGTTCAAAATTCCTCCTTCCCCTTCACAACTGTAACCTTCGCAACCTCCCTCGATTCACAGCTGGCTCTGTCACCCGGAGCTCCCACTCAACTATCTGGCCCTCAATCAAAGGCTATGACGCACTATTTACGCTCTCGATATGATGCTATTCTCATCGGTGTTGGGACCGCCGCCGCCGATAACCCAAGTCTGAATTGTCGAATCGAGGGAGTGGGCGGATATGGTGGGCAAGGACTTGAAGGCCAGCCTCGTCCAATTATCATCGATCCTGCCGCACGCTGGGACTTTACTGCGGACCAGAAGATCTTCCAGCTGGCAAGAAATGGACAGGGAAGAGCGCCGTATATCATCATAGGACTGGCAAACCCACCAGCGGATAAGAAAGCTATTTTGGACGACGCCGGAGGCAAGTTCATTACGGTTGAAATGGCGACCACAGGCGTCAGTGACCACAAAGTTGATTGGAAGGTTGTGCTGAAGGCTCTTAGTGTGGAGGGTTTGAGAAGTGTCATGGTTGAAGGTGGTGGGACTGTCATCAATTCATTGCTCCAACCCGAGAATTTTTCTGTCATCAACTCCGTTATTGTCACTATTGCTCCAACATGGCTAGGGACAGGAGGAGTGGTTGTTTCTCCACCTAGACGCCTTAATGACGAAGGAAAGCCGATGGCTGCTGTTCGACTCGATCATGTTGAGTGGCACCCGTTCGGAGAGGATGTCGTTTTATGCGGAAAATTGAAGATCTGAAGATAAGTCGTATTCATCAGTACGGAAAGAGATGCATACGGCAATGCCCTCAAAGTCGCATCGAAAACTGGTCATATGCATACAATTAGCGTTCTTTTTGAAGAAAAGGAGCTGGCGTAAAATGTTCGAGGGGGTCCTTTCGGTTACTGTCTACAAACAGCGGCTTCGAATGGACATAAACTTGCTGCAGGAGATTGAAGTTAGGGTCACAACAAAAGCTTTCCAGCCATGCCATAAAGTTAAGGAGGTGGAGAAGTTCACATTAAGCAAGTCGAAGCAGAGCCAACGCTTACAAAGAACGTTCCTGTCGATGTTGTGGGTAATCTCACCGAATCTAAACCTCTCTTCCTTCCCACGCGGTTAGTCACCATCGCCGCTCTGCTTAGGCGCTACTTACCCTCACCTCACTCTCTACTTAGGTTACTCAGTCACGTTCTTGCTCTGCCTTCCATAAACTAATTATAATATACTTCATATTCGGCTGGCCATGCGAAAGCTGTCATCTCTACACGATTGTATCTAAGGGTACCAAGTCGGCTCCCAAGGAGCCTGAACAGGACCCGCCCCCCTGTACTCCCTCCCCCCCTAAAAATAAATTATTCAATCTCTTAAGGCAGATTCCTCTCGCAAGATGGCATTGTCTCGTATTACCTCTCTCCTAAATCTTTACCCTTCTATATACCTTCTTCCACTACACTCTTCTCTATATATCCGAGTTTATATGCATACTGCAAATTTTTGATTTAGCAGACTACTTGTTTCTTTCTATTGCCATCTTCAGCGATCTTTCTCTTTGATAACAATGAACAATGGCTAGGACGAAGGATCCTAAGAATTTTATTAAAAGCGCTTAATAAAAAGGGTCTAAGAAGAATACAATTCACATTAATGGCTCCGAGGTTCAAAGCCATCTCGAGCCCAAGACTTGAAAGTCATATCAGAGACAGGTAGACAACTTTATTAGTGGCTTACATCCTCTCAATCATACATGCTCTTGGCCTAATAAATAGATTCGCTAAAGGAAAGTCCAGTGCTGGCCCTAACGACCCTAATAAAGAATTTAACTTAATAGAGGATAAGGCACAGTTGTCCAATATTGGAAAAACTTTATAAGCAAAGCGAACAGAGGAGGAAGACCGGCTATTAATATTCTATTCTATCTTAAAATCTCTTTATAATAATCCGTCCTACTATTAGTCCTACTATCCCTTATAATCCAAGTCCGCCTTGCCTTGGGCATCTCAACTATCCTTAATCTCTAATTTTTTGGAGCTGATATAGTCTAACTATGCTCCTTGTGCAATTGGTTAATTGCATTCTTACCTCCGACCTAGAGTTAAGTCAAACTTAATGGCTCGCGACTGTAAGTCGTTGGCTCACTTGACTTTTCCTTCGACAGGTTGGACCTGATTATTGAAGATCGGTCATTTATTAATCTCTCAGACAACAGCTCGGGTCCAGAACTTCCATCCCTCCCGATATTCTTGCGCTCTCACTCCAACTAATTGTTCGATACCCTCAACGCCGACAGCATTTTCAAACTTTTCCTGATCGATCTCTTTGCCACCCTCTCCATCGATGTCATTTTGGAATACCGCAGGCCAAAGAACCCCAACTCCGTCGGTACCTAGGATAGTCTCATATTTCCGAAATCCTTCTGTACTCAACTTCAGTTCCAACTCTTTGATAATTTCATCTTTGACGTCTGGTCGGAAGAGTGTGATAGCACATCCACCACCTCCAGCACCGGTGAGTTTTGTCCAGCCAATATCCGCATAATCCACAAGCTCGCGGATGCGCTCTAGACGGGGGTGAGAGACCCCTAATGCAACCAGGAATCCGTGGTTCATACGGATTAAAGTTCCTAAGCGCTCGAGAGTATTAGAGATACCATTGCCCGTAAAATCAGCGGATGAGATGAGCTCCAGTGCAGAATTTGTAAGTTGACCAATCCCATCTAAGATTAACTCTGTCATATCCGGGTGAGTATTTTTTAATGTTCGTACTTTCTCTACCTGCGCAGCCGTTGAGCGAGATTGTTGTGTGTCAACGAGAAAGAGTGGTAATTTCGGGAACTTGGTAATAGGAGTGACGGATGGTGGTTCAAGGTCGTTTCTCTGGACGATCACGGCCTTTCCACCTGTAGAGATCGCATTATCCACCCCGCTAGGGTCTCCGTGTATGCACAACTCGCCTACGAATGCCCAGCGATTAATACGCTCAATCCATATTTATGCTTCCTCAGAAGGCTGATCAGGATGAGGTCCTGCAAGGGTGCGTACCTAAAGGAGTAGCGCCGCACTCAAGCAGACGCAGAGACTGGCACTACTACCCAGACCAGCGCCAATTGGAATGGTGGATCGAAGAGTGTAGATGAATCCAGGACTGTTCGGGGAGCCCAAGGAGAGGAAGAGGTAGAGGAAGGCGGTCGCAGAATGTACATGGATTTTTCGCTCTTTCTCTGGAAGGTCTTCGACACGGCCTCTGCATGCGGTTTAATTGCGTCGAGTAATTGAGAGTCGAGGGAGTTGACAAGGGAGTAATAGAAGCTTTTCTTAGAAGGATGGTTAAAAGCATCCCATGGCAAAGAGTCGATTTTCCATATATGATTCAAATTGATATCTCTGAAATTCAGTTTGATGGTGCGTTGAGACTTCGTGAGGGTGGTGACAAGGAGATAAGATCTGAGAGAGATGGCCGCAGCAATAGCTGGCTTGCCATACACTGCAGCATGTTCACCGAAGACAATGACTTTTCCTGGTGCGGACACCATGAACGTGGGCGCCATTGGCAACGAAACTTTTCTCTCCATAGCTCCGAAGTGTGAAAACCGTCGGCAGAGGATTTCGTGGTTGGGCTGCTGGTGGAAGGTGTTTGTTCGTTGAACGATGTGCAACGCTGCCGGAGCATATTTTTTATTGGCCGGACTCAGTACTCGTAGCGTGACTGCGCACGTTCCATGCTGCTTCGCGACAGCACGTTTTCATTGTGGATATTAACTATCCAGTTCTGAATGCGGTGCCTTCAGGACGGAGGGTGAGAGCAAGCTTCGTGAGGGTTGAGACGGAATGTTTTGCTCGACGCCAATTAGTAAGTAGGTCCCGGATGGTAGTTGAGTTTAGCCTTACGAAGCGGGCCCCAACTTCTTCCTCTCTCCATTTACAAATCGGCATTCCCAGCACCGACTCAAGTCAAGTTTCCATAGGCTGGGGAACAAAAACGAAAACGATTGCAAGAATCTGAAGATCCACCTAATCTCGTTCCATTCGAGTCCCTTCGAAAGCAACGGCGGACGTCTCTTGCAGATGCTGCCGTCAAGGGCACATGTGACCAGAGGGCAACGAGCGGCATCCACGATAACAAACCCAATCTAATTGATTATTGGAGCAAGGAGAGACGCTGGCCTGAGGAATATTGCAACCAAGACGACCAGACTAGGATAGATCTCGAAGAATACAACGGAATATACTGGGTAACAGAGATGGGGTTGAATCACCTACTTGCAAGGAGGAAGTCGTCGTCTTCTCTTCGTGCTAAACAATCGGAAGCTGGCTCTATCGCATCTAGTTCTACAACGCCTAGCGATCAAAAGCAGAGGGAAACAAAAAGTACCCCTTATGCGCGTCTGAGCTACACAATAGTCCTTGCAACTAAGGGTAGCTTTATGGACAAGTCCGATTTAGGCATCACGGATGCAAGTAAGAATCTCTGCTGAATTTTACTAGAGAAAGAGCAGACGGTTCCTCAAGTCTCCTTATTTCGCAACGATGTATTCGATAAAGCTTGCCGAGATACAGGACAGGAACGAGGCAAGGGTAATTCAAGATATCACTCGATTGATCGTCCCTTCTACGGAAACCCTAGCCACATACGGTGCCACACATCTCTATCCTTTAATCGAAAGTGTTACAGTAATGAAGGCTGGAATAGCGCCGAACCTTTCTATGGTGAAAGCCTGAAAGACGCCCTGAATTCCACAGCCCTATAAGAGACCCGGCCCCGGCCCAGGCTCGTTACCGTAACTGTGGCGAAGCCCCGCTGTGGCGGCAGGGGGTTTAGCGCCTTGGCAGGGGTTTCTGAGGCTGACATGGTAACTTGAAACCACAATTTCTAATAATAATCCACGGATTCGACGGAAGGACAGCAATTGCAGCACCCCGGATATGTTCACATGATAACCTCTGAAACTAAAGAGCTTGAATTTATGAAAATGGATACCGTCTCTCCCAACTCTTTTCCTTCACTCTCATCGGCTTACTCCTATTCAAATACCGGTACGAAGTATGGAGGTAAAACTCGTACCTCATGTCTATATAAGCTTTGTTAGACCAGAGTAAGGCGATTTGAGACTAGTGAGATAATAGCAACGACGCTTCTTTGGTATACCCCTGAGGAAAACTGGGGAAGGGATACGCATTTCGTGGGACGCGCACGCGTATCCACAACAAGCTTTGATCAGCAGAAGCCGCCCCATCAGATCCAACATCGGGACGACGGGAACATTAGATAAAATAAGCCACCCACCATCCTCAGCCCTTCAAAACGTGGCCTACCCCTACGTACTCAAGTGCAGGTAAGTCTTATCTTCCTCATTGATCACCTTCAATTCTCCTGCCTATGTTCTTTCCTTTGGTACAATCTTTTCTTCCTTCTAGCGCAATGGCGTGGTCAGTCCAGAAGAAAAAACCTCCAGCCGTGCTTCTCATCAAGGCCGGCGTTGTTCTGCTTGTCATTTATTTTCTCCTCTCCGTATTCCTGCCCTCTGTACCACTTTGGACCCCTCTGAACCTCTCATCACTCCACGCCAACAAAACCGACACCTTCTCAAACGTCGCCGCAATCATCGAAGACCGGCCTCTGAGCAATCTCGCGCCATTAATATTGCATTTCTCCTCAGTCCTCGGTCCAGACTGGCCAATTGTGCTCTTCACCTCCACGGGAAGCAGTCTGCTAAACCAATCGGCCGCCTTCCAGCGAGCCGTGGACGAGGGCAGGATATCTATATGGGCGCTGCCAGAGGATACGCATTTTGAAAACCATGCGGCTGTTTCGGAACTTCTCACCGCGCCATGGTTCTGGGAGCAGCTGGCGCCAGCCGGACACGTTCTCCTGTTCCAAGCCGATAGCATAATCTGCGCGAACTCCGAGCTTCGCATGGAAGACTACCTGCAGTACGATTTCGTCGGAGCGCCGGTCGATGTGCCAGTAGGGGGGACAGCTGGCCACGGCGAGGGATATAATGGGGGATTATCGTTGCGGAATCGCTCGATGGTACTTGATATTGTGAAGCAGGATAGTTGGAAAGGGGAGATGGAATCTGGGGCAATCAGTCAGGAGGGGTGCGTGACGAAGGCTCCGTGCTTGAAGTTTGAGGATCAGTGGTTTTATCATAAGATGAAAGATATACCCGGTGCGAGTCTGCCTAGCAAGGAAGTTGCTTCTACTTTTGCCGTCGAGACCGTTTGGTATGATACGCCGCTTGGGTATCATCAGGTGGAGAGATGGAATGCAAATAGGATGGATAAGGTGGCACAGTGGTGTCCGGAGTATAAAATGGCCACGACGGATTTGCTTGTTAAGCATGGGAAGGCGAAGGGGTCATAATCAAATAAACATCTTAAAACATTGCCGAAGACTTTGAGCATGTGCTAAAAGGAATTGACAAGTCGAAAATTGTCCGCCCCGGCCCTCTTTAGCTCATCGGTGGCTTCCAAGCAGGATAGTCTGGAACTCAATTAGTTCGGGCCATCAGACCAAACAATTACCTACATGCTACTAGATGTTTAGAAGTCCTAGACTTGTATATCCTTATGCGCATCACTTACCCTCGAACAGAAGACGATTAAGCTATTCTTGAGAGAACTTTCCTTCTCGCTTGTCAAGTTGTTTTGTTATCAAGATGAAACAATGTCTTGGAGCAGAGCCTCACGCTACCATCCTCTGGTCTCACGTCCCCTCATATCAAGCAGGTAGCGCAGCGACCGATTACAAGTGTTAGAGATTGGTTAAGTGAATTAGAGCCATAAGATCACGAGAACAAGTATGTTTAAGCAGCTTCCCCCCTTGGACAGAAAAATAAGTCCACAACAAACAACGAAGGCTGGGATCCACCAGTGGAGGATCGCATGTGCGGAAAATTCACCACATCACTACACTATGTATCCAGTACTTTGAACTTTGAAGTGGTTTCATTTTCTCACTCTTAAGAGGCTCAGTAAATTTCCGCAAAGCAGTAAGTAGTAGTTTAGAAATCGACCGAACGGATAAATTTGACAGCAATTAGCCTGATAGTAAAAGTTTACCTCACACCAGCAACCCCATTTCGCATCACCCGTTCCTTTCCAGCCCCTAGATCTACGGGGACAAGGCACTGCGGTATAAGAGTCCGCTCTAGGCATCATCCTGAGCTACCTCGCCCTTACATTCTCATGTCGTTTGCATTCTGTACCTAGAAAATTCCGTCTGTTATATCGATAATTCTCTGTCTAAGAAGTAAAGTCTGGCTGTGGAAGAAGACCTTGAATGCAAAACGGGATTCTGATTTCAGCGCCTAAGGAAAGATTGATGTTTGCTGATAAGACGAGGAGTTGGAGTATGTTTCCAGATGTGTTGAAATAGAAGTGTTTCTAGAATACAAATAGCGAGTGCTAGCTATAAGTCTACTCGGACATTCATATATACGTTCTTTAAATTTTGGTGGGAAAGTAGGTGCAAACCTGTATCATGAATGCCACTGCCACTTCTACCTCCATTTCTTCACATTACATCAAAACCCATATACAAATAACCCAGTGTCGCCATCTCAAAAGCCCCAGCACATCTAGAGAACCGAATCACCTCTAAACCCATCGATGAAATTCGGAATCCTAGGATCCGTATATAAACAAGTATGGGAAAAGGCGAAGCAGGGAACTCACAGCTTGTGGAAATTCCCTCTCTTTCCAGCTTGGAAATCAAAAGGAAATAAGTTGACCGTGTGTATATACGTATGCTCAGTTTATTAGTAATACTAATAGGAATACCTTCGTTTGACCTTTACCCCATCGCGTGCAGGATATCTATCTATCTGCTTATAGATAGTAGGTGCTAGCTCTCGGTGCCCACCACGGTCATTGTTCGGCACCCGTCGATGAGGAATTCCAGGGCTCGGAATTAAAGTGAAGTAAGTGAAGGGTAGATAATATATTGATCGATTCCACTATATATGCGGTTTAGCCGCCGCGGATATAGATATTGGGAAATGTTATATTACCAAGTGCGGAATACAAGACTTGAAATCTTTTTCAAGGCGGGCTTTAAGGCGTTTACCTACTGTTTGGTAAATGAGAATCCGATCGAGGCTCAGTACTACGGAGTATGCGTGCGCGTGCTGAGAGGCTGGTTTGTGTTTTTTGTGCATGTGTTACGCGATGGGAGGAGTGTATGTATGTATGTATGTATGGTGTGGGAGGACAGACAGCAGGCTGTCAGCTCAGCTCAGCTCACCGAGGCTTGTATATTGGACTGGACTGGAGCAATGCTTCGCCTCCATATGTTCAAAGCGTGCTACTGATACACACGCAGGATCCAGCCTTGTTTTCTATAATAAGCAACAAGAACTGCGAGTGCTGGTGGGGTCTGATAACGCCCGAAGGCTTAAAGTGCTAGAAGGGGAAATGAAAAAAGGAGATGTTTAATATATACTATTAATCAATAGACTTTACTTCTTAGCATCGATCGAATTGCCTCGAAACCGATGTAATAGGCGACTTGTAAATATATACCCCGGCGTATACTCTCCTCTCTAGCTCAAAGCTACCCACGTTCCTGTCCCGCTGAGAAGAAATGCAGCAGGCGGTAGGACAGAACATGGGCATAGGTTTCTAATTCTAGGCGCAACATATAATTAGGAATCCAGGAGAGGAGAGGATCGATGAGATATAGATATAGATAGGCAAGACGTCGAAGTTGGAAATGAAAGAGGATAACTATACGAAATTAAGGCTCTCAAACTAGCTTGCAGCCTTGCAACTTGCAGGCTAGGCCGGTATTATAAATATATCTACGCCCTGCCGCGTTTCTTTAAAACATGTGTACTATAGTGGAAAAGGCAAGATTTCGTACGACTACTGAGCCACGATGGTTAAGGCTGAAGCACACTTGTATTACAGTACGGTACTCTTTGCTGAGCCTTACCACTCGTATAACTTGTACAAAGTAAGATATCAAGCTGAGGTTAATCGACAAAACATGACTGAACTAGACATGACCTTCGAAATTAAACATGTCGCAAAGTACAACGGCGTTGTAGGAGATGTCGAGTAATACACCCTTTTAGGAGATTTTACCGATGTGACGATCATGCCTTTTCGGAAAATCCGGAGAAGAGGCGAAGAAGCGGCGGCCGTAGTGGGTTACATACGAAGTGAGGCTGGTGTTTCATGTCCTAATTAGGGGTGCATTGTGCAGTCCCCATATATTTGGCATAAATACTTTATTCCTATTGGTGAGATCTACCGTAGAATGGAGATCGCCCGGCAGTGCCTGACTGTGGCGTTGTATCTAAGGTATTAAATTGGCTGTGCCGTGACGTACCTGTGTGGCTTGAGCCCCGAATAAATAATGCTGAGTGAATAACTAACCAGCTGATGTCGAAATTGTATATAAGGAAACCTTTTCCCTTGATCTAAATCCATAACCATCACACAATCAAACACCTCGAATCTCAAGCCAGCCAGCCATCCAGCCAAATAAACAAATTCAACTCAACTCAACTCAACTCAACTCAACCGAACTCAACTCCTATCTATACCCACACTTCTCTTCCACTCCATCACTCCACACCACTCCACACCACTCCACCGCAACCATGCAGTTCAAAGCCCTCACCCTCCTCACCATCATCTCCACCGTCTCCGCCCAAAACCTCCTCGACACCATAACATCCGACGTGAACGGGGCCCTCAGCACCGCCACCGCAGCCGTCGACGGCGCCGAATCGACCGCGACCAGTGTCCTCGACGGGGCCAAGACAACCGCCACATCCGACATCGACGGAGCTCTCAGCACAGCAACCAGCATAGTAGCCGGCGCCGAATCAACAGCAACGAGCGTCGTGAACGGCGTGCTCACAACCGCCACATCGCTGCTCTCGTCCCTAGGCTCGGACGCCTCGTCCGTGCTCACGGGCGTGAGGTCGGACGTTAGCAGTGTTACGGATTCGGTGGGCAGTGTGGTGAGTGTGCTTACGAGCTCGGTCGCTAGTGAGGTTAGCAAGGCTACGGCTACGGCTTCTATGATTACCACGACGAACTCGGCGGGCAAGACGACTGTGGTTGCTACTTCTGCGTCTGCTGCGTCTGCGTCTGCGTCTGCGTCTGCTTCTGCTTCTGCTTCTGCTTCTGCTTCTGCTTCGTCTTCGAGCAGCACGGGTGCGGCGGCTGCTGCGTATCAGACTGGTGCTGTGGGTGTGGCTGCGTTGTTTGGAGGGGCTGCGTTGTTGGCTGTTAATATGTAGAGGGTTTACTGAGAGTGTGGTATTTAGGGGAGGGAGATATGATATGAAGCGGAAGAGCGAAGCATTTGTAAAAAATTTACTTGAGCGATGCATGCATAGGAAGGGTCATCCATGTCTGGAGTTATAGTATATACAAAGCGCTGATTTCGGAACATCTTACTCCGTATACTTTTTATAATACTAAATCAAAATTCTCAGCATCAAAATCAAAATCAAAATCCCTCTATTTCTCTACATTTTTGAGTTTTCCCTTCCACATCCCCTTCCACCCGCTCACCGGCTTTCCTAGGTATGTTTAAACAAACAGCCTACCTACCTGCCTACCTGCCTGTCTTACTTCGTACAGTTACATACACATCTTGCTCTCCTTTCCTACTGTAAGGCTGTATGCCCCGCCCCCTACCACCCCAGTATCTCAAACCCCTGCTACTATCCATGCTTTCCCCCATATAGTAAGTACAAAGCAACCTGTACTGTACGCCAGAGGAAGGAATACCTACCCGGCCTGGTTTCAGGCTTTGAAATTCCCATTACTGTATTTCGTAAAAATCAAGCTCTTTTTCCTATGCAGGTCATGCAAATGCAAACAAATCGAAAAAAAACTATTATTTGTTTTGTAACTATGTTAATAATAGATTAACTAGCTATACTGTATCTACTTATTTCCTGCATCTCAAGACCACCAAATGGTACCACCGAATGGAAGTAGTTGTGCAGGGTCCTGGATTTGCCTACTTTTGAAAGCCACACCACAATCCCCTGACCTGACACGTACTGTACTCCGTAAATACAAGCTCGTACGTGCATGCACGAATCCCGCCTTTCAGGAAATCCATGTTATTGGCTGTATCGTATCTCTTCACCGAAACGCTTACTAAATGCGGTGCATCAATCGACGCTACTATAAGGCTTTCAGCCCCACGCCACGCCGACGCCTCCCGCGACGACTCCGCGAATTGCCATGCCGCCACTGCCCAGAACCTAAACTGTTCGCACTTCACCTTGGCAACGTGTCGCTATACGCGTTCTAATGAGGCTCGGAAAGCTGAAGATAGTGTAGGGCGTATGCACAATGTATACACGACAAGTACACGCCGATCTTAGTGTGTAGGTATACATCTGGTTTTCTGAGGACCCAATATGTAGGCATCCGTAACTGCGTGGACAGCACACCGGCCTCTGATTCGGTCTCTTACACATGGCAAGAGCCTTAGACGTTGTGGTATGGCGATATTCCTTTCTTGATTTCAAAGACGATTTCAGCGGCTTCGTCGGCACTCTTTGCCTCAAAGTCATATCGTTTGGTCTCTGTGGCTTTGTAGACGACAACCTGTAGAAGATTAGTATTGACCCATAAATTTGGTATAATCCTCGTACCTTGAAATTTGTCGGATGCCTCCGTGTGACTTTACATCCAACGACATTACTGAAATGCACCGTAGTTGTCTTGCCTTGGCCCTCAAACATCGTCTTACCCGTAGATGATGGCATTATATGCAAATACTCCCCATCAATAGCTATCACTCTTTCGTTCATCCCAACAAATCTCATTGGCTGTTTTCTCCAGACAATATACTTTCGATAATTCGAATTGCCAAGCTCATCCTGCTTGACCGCTTCTTGGGCCAGCGGATGAGCTCCAAGCATTTGTCCCTTTCTAATCTTGCCATATTCCGGACGATCGGTCATCATGGGCTTTTTCGGGGAAGAACTGCTTGGTGAGCCCGACATTGTCAATGGGCCATCTGTTGCAAACCTCCGGCGATACAGATCCAAATCTGCGCGATTGCCAATTGATTCTACGGTACGGTCCAAAAGTACAACAGTTCCTGACCCCGTCAATTTGAGGACATGGTTAGCCTTGTCTAATTGTCGCTTCTTGCACACGACATCGAGAACCTCAGCAAGATATGTATCTGTGCTAATGTCCAAAGTTATCATTTGTCCTGGTGCGGCATCTGCGGAATGTATATGGATTCTTAGGAGTTTTTGAGCGCCCAATCTTGCAGCAGGCTGCGATGGAGCTCCACCAGGCGTAGGTAGATCAGCCAAAGATTGGTTTTGTCGTAGAGCAGACATAGTTGTAAGGAGTGGGTTTGGGCGGTTTTGGGTTGATAAGAGAGGTGACGCCCCTATATTTGAGAGCTGTGGCGTTGGGGTAATTCTGGATGTAAAGTCGTCCTCCGGTGGAGCTGTTTGTACGGACTCTTGTTTGAATTGAGGCGTGAGACTTTGATTTTGTTGAAACTGCTCGTCCGTCGCTTGCACGAGGGCAAACTCGTCAAACGGCTTGGAATTTGACCTTGACCTTGCAGCACGATTGTTTTCAGTAGTAAAAGAAACAAGCGGTTTGTTACGCTCGAGAGCAGGGAAATCATAATCGACTTCCTCATCCTCAACCATTCGTAAAGTCCACCAATTTACATTGAGTTTCTCTGGGGGAATCACGGGTTCAAGCTTCTCCTCTGCATATCTCCAAAGACTCAACCCAATAAGATCAGCGACAGTAACCTGTCTATCATTTGCCTCGTTCATATGAACACTTCTTCGGATGAGAACTTCATATGGTTTAGTTGTTGACGTTGCGAAGGGTGCCCAGATCCGAAGTAATAGGGGGTTGGGATCACCCTGGCCTGATAGTGATGCAAATGATTCAAATGGAGATGCAGCTTTTGTCTGTCTTGCCTTGATAGCAGCAGAGAGCAGACTCTTGGGTTGCACCATACTAATAGGCCGTGGAGGAGGTAGGGCTTGAAGCACGGGTGGCGCAGGCTTCGATTTGACCGTTGGAGACCGTGTCAGCTCTTTGGGCACTGTACCAATGATAGCATCCGAAGGCGAAGCTTTTATGGGTGCTCCGTCAACACTATCAAGGATAGAGGTTGAATCGATGCTCCCTTCAAATTCCGAGTCCATGTCCGATACATCTGAATCGTCTTCCTCTTCTTCCTCTAGAAGATCACTCTGTTGCCTTTTCATGCCCACATTAGGATCCGATGTCTGACTATGAAGTGCTCTGCTTGCTTTTGTCGCATTACGGGTGGCATCTCTCTGTCGTGTGAAAGCAGACGCGTCGAACTCGTTTTCAGAAGACATCTCGCTGCTGGTGACAGTATCACGCCTGGCACGCTCCTTGACAGCTTCCAGCGCTGATTGTGATCCTCTTCTAGCACCAGGGGTTCGGGTTGGAGAAGCTATGGTCGAGGTCTGGCGGAGGTTCGAGCCACGAATTGGAGAGGAACCGGAACGATTTCGAATTGGCATCTTTGAGAACTTTATCTGCTGCGCGGCGCGCTGATCGCCCTCTTCATCGCTATCATCACTAAGGTCACTGCTATCTTCCTCTTCCATCTGCTCTCGTCGGCGACGCCTTTTCGTAGCTATCCCTGGGCCGACTGTATCTCCAGCCCCACCTCCCGTAACCATGCCACCCTCTTCAATTTCATCTTCCAGTCCTGTGGGGAGACCTGCTGACCTAGGAGCAGCTTGGAAATATTCGGAAGCTATAGCAGTGGGAATTGGTGGAGAATGTGTTCGTTTGATATTCGCGGTGTTAGGACGCCATCCAGCAGCTTTAAACCCCGCCGTGTTCAGAAAAGAATCATTGATCGTGATGAGACGTTCGCCAACGCCATCTGCAATTGTATTCAGGTAGTTGGTCCGCAATTGATACGAGACCAGACTATATTCAAGTGTCAGCGCTGGTAACATATAATCGTGATGCTTGGGATATACTCTTCTACTTGGATAACAGACATTGCGCATTCATGAGTTGTACCAGACACCTCAAGCACTCTGCATGTAAATCCAGGATATTCAAGGAGTGAGTGGTATTATTCAATAATCGGAGTGTATTTCATTTGGGTGACAGTGTTGAAGTGATTGGACTCAGCTCAGCCTTGTCGTTGGAAACTGGGGAAGGCTTGGATTTACACTCGTGCAGTCGCGCGGGACATGCGCTTTGGGGAAGGATCGCTTGGCCGGCCGAACCTCATGCTTCTTTCCCCACCAAGTTGAACCACTCTTCACATTTCGACTTTCACAACCAACGCACAGCTTCAAGATATGGCTCTCGTGGATTACTCTGACTCGGATGCATCCGATGTCGAAGAAACTCCCGTTGTCAAACCAGCGGCGAATTCGTCAAAGCCAGCATTTCAAAAGGTAGTCGATCGAGCAAATCCAGGCAAAATCCGAGTTTCACTACCGCAAACCTCTACGAAAAACGACACTCAAAGCGATGAGCCTCCTACGAAACGAGCGAAGATAGGAGGGGGAGCATTCAGTGGGTTCAACTCGTTCCTTCCAGCGCCGAAACGGACAGGGCAGACGAGCACAACATTAGGAGGTGGCAATGCAGTCAAGAAGGGTGGTCTTGGGGCAGGTGTGAACTTGAAGACGGGAGCAGCTCCAGGATTCAGCAGAGAGCCAGAGCCGGAGAGAGAATATACTGAGGAACAAGCGTCTACGAGTGGAGGAAATGGGTTAACTCTTCCTCCACCACAAGCATCACAAAACGAAGAGAAGTCTGCCGAGGAGGTTAAAATGGTCGGAAAGCCTTTGATGTTTAGGCCTTTATCAGTTTCACGGAAGCCGAAGAAGAAAACGGTTGCCCAACTCTCTGCGGCGGCTTCCATTCCCTCCACCCCTGCCAAACCTCAGCCTAAAGCAGAAACACCTGCACCAAAACCCAAGGTATCGCTATTTTCAATGGGGTCGGAGGAAACAAGCACTATGACACCTTCAAACGGAGAATACAAACCAATGATGCTCGACACACCAGAGCAGGAATCACAGGAATCAGAGGACCCTTACAGCCTGGAACCTTCGTACGAAGACTTTACCCCAAATGCCTCTCAGTCTGGCCTTGCACTACCAGCAGTCCCTACACCCCCAGTATCACAGTCCCTCGACGACATAGCTGGAGACCTCAACCTTTCTGCCGCGGAACGACGACAGCTCTTTGGAAGACAGAAGGGTGGTCGAGGGAATAAGTCTGCCACGAAGGTTATCAATTTCAATACAGATGAAGAATACCTACATAATGAGGAGCTCAGAGCTGCTGGAGAGCAAGTTTCTCATAACCCTGTTAGATCTATTGCGCCTGGTAAACACAGCCTGAAACAGTTAGTCAATGCTGCGCAGAGCCAAAAGGAAGCGTTGGAGGAAAGCTTTGCGAAGGGCAGAAACAACAGAGCCGAGGCAAGCAGCAGGTATGGATGGTAAAGAGGATTGAACCAATGTTTTCTGAGAGGCAACCAATGATACCCTATTTTGTCGTTCATTCTTCAGAGTAGCATTGTCCTTCCCCTTATGAAGGGCATGTTTTGGCTATTATAATTATTTTGCTTAAACTCGAGGCAAGTAGCGTGTATATCATTTAATCTAGAATTACCATTGTATACCATATTTCCGTACTATCTCTTTGCACTTCACCTTCTTTTTTAGTTCCATCCTCACCGGGCCAAGCCGTCATCCATAGTCGGGAAAGAACAACTACGAGTACAAACCCCCACCTGCAACCGCACAGCTCTTTCCCTTGTCGCCATTCACAGCCAGCTCCAACACAAGCCAAGCAAAGCCAAGCCCAATCCATCTTCTAGCTTTCCCACACGCCATCACATTGCACTCCTTAGCCACGTCCTAGTATTGGAATACATCTCTGTACACCCGGGTACAAGGAGGCACATCTGGACTGGAACGCTTTCTTCTACGCGCTCGTTCTGTGCTGTAGTCATACTTCACATCACTATGTATGTGTTGTTGTAGCATTTGCTAGGAGACATCTATGGATTTATCTATCTACTTATGCTAGATACCTACGTAGAACTCCGGAGCGCTGATTTGGAGCAATAAAGGAAAGAAGAAACAGTCAGAGCCTGTCCATAAAATCATTAGCAAAGGCTTCAATCCGTAAAGAAAGACACCGGCCAGCTTTAGCTCCAGCCTCTAGCCCTCGGCACGTGTAGTGATCGACAAGAGCAATGTGGACCGAGCTTAATCACTGTGCGGGGAGAGCTGCGAGCTGCAAGCTGCACTACCTAGAAGTACTTGATTCGACAATGTTGCAGAGAAGGCATAATTATCTGTTTCTATCTCGGGAGCCGCAGATGCACAAGAATTGTGATGCGCTGTCCAGTGAGGGGTCGACGTCCTCTTCGCCCTATCAGATCCCCACCGAAACTTCTTAATGGCGCAGACTCATATCCGGCAGTTTGGAAGAGGGGTGGGGTTCGTATTCCGGAGTATACGGTCACCCTCCATTTTTTCTATTCTCGCACTGTGCTTTGATGTTGAATGGTGGTAAGGATCCTTGCAGGTGTGTTGGCTATCACCTCCTGAGTCGTACTTAAGATGCATGTAATCTATTTTTGCAACATTACCCGAACCTAAAAGCGCCACAATATCTATTTTGGTTCACCAACAACTCCCCCAGAACCTTGAGAATCAATGGTCCTATCACGACTCTCCTTTCATCTCTAAATAGCATCAAAGAGTCTGTTCGTCGGAACTCTGAGCGCTTACAACCCCAGATCTCCTTGTCAGTGGCCCAAGTGGTCTGCAATGGCTTCTATTTCGAATATACTTCAAAGCTACCTGCTACCCTCAGGTAAGGATGTAAACGCTTTCTTCCTGTCTATTAAAGTATCAAGCTCAAGAAGCGTCTGTATATCTCGTCGTCGACGCCACGAAGAAGTTCTTCAAAGCCATCGAGAACTTGTTGCGCCATTGACTCCTTATCATTGCGCACCTTCGTAAGTCAACGACCTCCTCAACTGAGATGCTTTCCACCCTCGTTGAATGTCCTGACGACTCGGACCCTATCTCGCAATCGTTATACTACCCAAAGTTCCAAACATCCCCAGTCAATATGCCCATCACCAAAGAGCGCATCTCATCGCCACTGGAGGCTGGGTCCTCGATCCTTGACTCCAAGCAACTTCCAGAACCCCTCACCGCCGCGCTAGAATACGTCTCCAGCCGTCTAGCAAGAAAGAGACTTCATCTCTCCCTCATCGTCGTCCGAAAAGACGTCAAACTTCCTGGGGATTCGTCCCCACTATCACCCCGCACCTCATCGCCATCTGGCTCTATCACCACATCGCCTGCCCGATCACTCTTCAGCGGCACATCATCAACCTTCTCGCAGGCCAACTCCTCCATCTCTGGTTCTTCATCTGATGTCTCTTCCTCCTCGACACTATCGCGCACACAATGGGCCAGCTTACCATCCTCGCCGAAGGACTTTGCCGCCTCTCCAAGAATGATGAGCCCATCAGCTGCTTCGTCTCCAACCTTACCTTGCACACCTATTACGCCTCCTACGCCTTTGTCACCCAATCCCTACGGCATATCTTTGTTGCACGCTAGCACTTTGACGCCCAAGGCGGAAAAGATCCTGAGACATACAATTGCTAAGGCAGAGAAGAAATTCTCCATCGGGTAAGCCTTCAGCTTTCTTTCCCCTTCATCTCACTTTTTCCATAGGGAACATATGATTCTTGCTGGTGTCCTACAATAATTTTCAAAACGCAAACTAACACCCTTCCAGATCCGGCTGGCTCTGCCCCAAATCCCTTACATCAACCACAACCTGCGCGCTCACCCACGACCTCATCGCCCGCTCCCTAAGCCAAAACGAAATCCTGTTCTCCTCCGAAGGTCTCACCCTCCTCTCCCTCGACCACATCTACACCTTCAAATGCCAGCTGCACACCTACTCGCACACACTCTCTCCCTCCGACCTATCCCAAGCCGTCGACGAGCTCCGGCGTTTGGTCTTGGCACAGAACGGGAAGCGCATCACCAAGGGCTATCTCATGCGCGCATACGAATGGCTCGGCGTGTCTCTAGCAGCACTGGTCGATGTAAACGAAGGATACAAAACCGCTTACGGAGGCCCATCGCGCTTCGGCGGAATCGAAGTCCCCGCCCCGCCACCAGCTCTCAAAACAACATTCGCCCCATCCGAGCTGCATAAAATGAAGCTCTCCCTCTCTTACTCCTCAAGTACCTGCACTTCAAACATGACCAGTAGCACGCTCTACGAGAGCGGTATGTCGATCAAAGAAGTCGAGGTCGGGGAGAGTGCGAAGGGAAGGGATAAGTGGGGGAATGAGGGCCTTAGAGAAGATAAGGGGCCGCATAGACGGGGCGCTTTGACGCCGAATGGCTTTGAGGATATTACGCCTGTTACAAAGGGGGAGTGGTGCTTTTTGATGGTGGGGGAGGGGTGGAAGGGCGGGAAGACTGCCGCGGTCGAAACTTGTTAGATATACCCTTACACATAGTTTCTTTTGTCTCAAAAGGTGTTTATAGGATGGGATTGGGATCTGAATCCGAGAGCAAGAGCTGCGATCGGATGCATTGGATGGCGTATGTATCATAGTGCGGGTCGTGAAAACCCGGGGACATAGGAAAAGAATTCAAACTCACATCGTTGTCATTTCTGTTTCAGAACGAGACCTCGCCGGGCTCTCATGTTAAAATTCGCATGCAGTTATATATCCATCATAGAAGTGAGATTCCACGTATTCATTTAGTTACAACATTAATAACTCGACAAACAACTCGTAAGGCGTATAGTATTATTTGCTACATAGGACCTAAAGTCTGCGGTTCATGGCAGAGCATCTTCTAAATACGCGTTGACGCAGAGATCGTGGTTAAAAACAACTTCTTTCCGCACAATGCACCACTTGAGTTGGTCCTCTTCTCTCCAGCCACCATTTACATAGATTTTGTCGTCTCTTGCTTGCTCAATGCAGCTCCTACAGTATCCTTCATCGCTTTTGCCATGCTTTCCGTTGGGGCAGTAGAAGGAGTTCTGTTGTTGTACCATAGGGACCATTGTAGTCTCTATGTTGCCACTCGTTGTAATCTCAACAAAGTGATCCTCCACCATGAATGTGCGGCCCTCATTATCAGACCTGGTATGTTTCTTGTAAGCTCCTCGGTCTTGAGTTTCGGTAGCTAAATAACGGATTTCGACGACCTCCAGATATTTGCGTTCGCGTAACCATTTTTCCAGTCGTTCAATGACGAAATATTTCGCTTCCTCTAGTAGAGCTTGATAAAGCGCGAAATCGTGACCTTTTCCTCTGTCGTAGAAGACTGGAAGAACCCCGGTCCGAAGATACCGAAGGATGTGTTCAAAGATGTGAGCGTCGGTTTCGATAAAGTATGAGCCATCTTCCTGTTCATCACCCCATTTCCCAGAGAACAGACTCTTGAAGTATATGCTTTGACCCAGCCATCTTTCCGGGTCAGTGACGAAGTTACGTTGTAATGTTTTGATTGTGGTGTACATGATCACCCTAGGGAGACGTTCTGTCGTCAAGAAGTGAAATGGATAGGTTTCGGATATTTCAGTTTTGTTGTGAGAAGTCTTGGATGGTTTTAGACTTGATTAAGGACGACTTTTCGATGTTGGAGGAGGGGAAGCGGTGAAGGGTCCAAGCAAGGGAGTGATTCCGAGCTGGCGTTGTGTAACTCGAAGAAATCAATCTTTCTGGTTTGTGGTTGGGCCACGCTTACACGCAGGTGTCGGTGACCAAATCCAGACATGAGGTTGGCGATTAAGGACTGGTCATTTTTGCCCTTCACCATCAAAAGACTTACATTATATGATTCGAAATCAGCTTTATAGCCAAACTCTCAATGATTATTGTAGATTCTATCCCTATCCACAGACACCCCCCACTGCAATTATAAACGCCCTGATCTAAGGCAACGCAGACAAATGACTTCCTACGTCTCCAGCCCTCCCGTTCCTCCTGAGTTCGATGACGAGGTTGACGATGCCTATCTCCCTGTCGGACACGTATGGGCTTACCCATGCAAGCTCCCTTCGTGCCCTGATTACGGCAAGTCCTGGCTACTGCGAAGCAACTTTCTCCTTCATTTGCAAGAGGAAGATGCACATGGGACCTTACCAACAACACCTGCCGCACGTCGTGCAATCGAGATAGATTGGCGGTATGATACCGATCCTCATCTGCCACCTCGGGCGGCCCCAGATTTTCGTTCCCGGGAGGATCCTAACGAGCATATCTGGGACTACAGCTTCAAAGATGGCAATGGTAAGGTGGTATCTGGCAAGGGCACAATGAAGGAAATGGAAATGCACAAGGCCTCACTACGCCTGCAAGCAGAAAGAAAAACGGCAGCTATCGGCGCTACATGAATGCGCTATATCGCATTGTGAACCTGTTCGCCGTGGTTGTACACTGATACTAAGCGTAGTTGATAAGACTTGAGGTTAGGTGTACTGGAATGAGGGTTTAGAAGGTTACAGTAGCGGTGGGCAATAGCTTATTGAAATTTTGCGTTATCCCAGCTCATCTGTCCAGACACTAGAATGGTGGAAATTGCCTCTGGCAATTGCCTTTCGGACACCCATAGTGATGAAAATCTCTTCCAAGAAACCCAAAAGATCCGCTTCGACAAAGTTCTCCAAACTTTCTCGGTCGGGTTGAAGTCGAGCGAGGACGGTTGCTGCGGCAGCAAACCGGCTGTACCGCAGCGCCTATGCAGCTCTCCTGTTCCGGTGGTTGATCAGTCTTTCTCTCAAGCACAAATTAACTGGCTTCTCCCTCAGATGTGGAACCCATCTTGTATGAAGAAGGACTATTCTTTATCTCGCGTGATTTTGTGCAGACGGCCGCAAAGTACTGTGGGAGAATTTACTTCTTGAATTAGATTGAAAATGGATCACGTGGTATATGTTTCCCAATAAGGAAATAGCTCAGCAAATTTTGTTGCACTTCGGCAAAAACGCAGCGGCCCTGTAACATGTAACAAATGTTTTCCTTTCTGGCACGTGACACGAACTGCTTGTTTTAAGTACTTGCACATTTCCCCAGTACCTAGGTATACTTTCGCGCTATATTTTCAGGATTTAATTATATAATTTTTTTTAAGTCAGTATACCGTGTTAATATTATATGAAACTTACTTCTTGGAATGGATTAAATTGAATCACGTGCTGCGGATAGCCTAATGGGAGCATAGTGCAATAAGTTTTGTTGCACGTCGTAAAAAACACAATTGCTCTCTGACGGAAATTTGCTCGGATTTGCCCGTGACCCAAGTACTTATTGATGAGAGCTTACTCCATAAGGCAGCGAGGATGATCTTCAAAGCAGCAGTAAACTAAAATGCGGACTCATCAAAGACCGTCTTGGGAAGCGATAGTTTCGGAACCAGCTCCATTGATAATGATTTTGTTGGCGTTGACGCATTCTTTTGGGGTTGGCGTTTTGATGGCATGCTCGATTCTGCGCGAGAGGATGGTGTTGATGTGCGGTGGCGCGGAGCCTTCGAGCTCGGGACACGACATGCTTGAATGCTTGAGTAAAGCGAGACGGTCTTGAGAAGCTTTTATCGTTGACGTTGAGCGAAATCGTTGTTCTTTGGTAGGCTGGAGTTAAACGAGACGTCTCGGGAAGGTCTTTTTGGTGAAATGTGTGCTAAAAGGCACTAGAATTTGTAAAGTTAGATTAGTAATATATGAAACTTACATCTTGAAAAGAAGTGAATTGAATCACGTGCTAGTGGAGGCTTAATGAGGAAATAGTCGGATAAGTTTTGTTGCACATCGACAAAAAAAAAAAAAAAAGTTGGGTGCCCTGTGACAAAAGGTGTCTATTTATGGCACGTGATCCGAACTTTTGTCCTTGAGAGCTTACGGCAGCGAGGATGATGTTTAAAACAGCGTCGAGCTGAATGTGATATCGGCTCCACTAATATTTTCGACTTCAAAGCTTCAAACTACTACTATTAAATCATTAGCTTTTCATCAACCACTTTGTACTTTATTCCCGTTGCAATCTTCTACGAATGATGTGTAGTTTGATTTGATTGAATAATAATCTATCTTTATAACATTTTAAACCGGATCACGCGGCGGAAATCCCGGAAGGGAGGTACTTTAAGGGGTTGGTTGGATTGGATTATTTCAGTATTTGGGTTTACATTTTTATATCCACGAATCTGTGAATCCATTGATCAACTTTGTATTTACCTCCTATCCCATAGTATCTTTCAGGCTAACCAAAGCCCAAGGAAACACATCTACGGGAATATCCAATGGTGCCCTACATTTACACCTGGTGCACCATCCCCTACCACCCCGCGTGATCCCGCCTCCAGTCTTCACCTACCTCCATCATGACCCGATCCTCATACCCCCAAGACCACGACCTCCCCGACTTCCTGCAAAACTCCCCCTACATCCCCCTCAGCACAGGCAACGACCATTTCTCCACATCACACCACGTGCAGCGCCCCATCCCAGCCCCAACACTCAGCCAGATCCTGCGCTCCAAACGCGCCCGACAGGTCACAATCCTGCTCGTGCTCCTCTGCACATTCCTCTACTTCCGCTCCCAGGCGCAGAACCACGACCTACTGACGCATCTCGGGTTCCGCGGGCCGAAATGTCTCTTGAACCCGCCCGTGGCCGTCCCGGAACTAGGGGCTGCCGAGGCGAACGGGACCGATTGGACCCAGTTCGCGTATGTGCAGTACGTGACCACGCCGGATTATCTCTGTAATGCTGTGATGATGTTCGAGGCGCTGCATAGGATGGGGAGTAAGCCGGATAGGTTGCTCATGTATCCGAGCACGTATAGTTTGGATAAGACGAGTAAGATGGAGGGGTTTCTGCTGTTGAAGGCGAAGTATGAGTACGGGGTTACGTTGGTGCCGATTGATGTTCTGAGTAAGGATTTAGAATATCGTAAGTCCCCATTTCCCATTCCCATTCCTTTTCCTGTTACTTTTCCATGTTGCTTTTGATTCTCTCTGTTGCTTTAAGATGAGACTAGCAGAGTAAGAGAAGGATAAAAAAACATGCGTTACTAACCCTCAATCAACACATAGAACAATGGGCATCATCCTACACCAAACTCCTCGCCTTCAACCAAACAACCCACTCCCGGCTCCTCGTCCTCGACTCCGACGCCACCCTCCTCGCTCCCCTCGACGCTCTCTTCCTCACGCCCCCCTCCCGCGTCTCCACACCGCGCGCCTACTGGCTCCCCACCCCCATGCTCGCCTCCCACATCATGCTAATCACGCCCTCAGCCCCCGGCTTCTCCCAGATCCAGACCTCCATCTCCAAAGCCAAGCTCGGCATCTACGACATGGAGATCGTCAACGCCCTCTACGGAAACGACTGCGTAGTGCTGCCGCACAGGAAATACGCGCTCCTGTCCGGCGAGTTCCGCGGCTGGGAACATGGCAGGTATGGCGGCGAGTGGGATGTGGGCGAGGTTATCAAGGAGGCACGGTATGTGCATTTCAGCGACGATCCGCGCCCGAAGCCGTGGGTTGAGGCTACCGAGAGAGAAATCGAGAGCGTGAGGCCTATTTGCGATTTAGGACCCGACGGGCATCTGGATTGCAGGGGGAGGGATTTCTGGGATTGGCTGTATGAGGATTTCAAGACGCGGAGAATGGTGAGCTGAGATTCATATGCCCCCTTCTTCTAGGTTTTTACTAACCTTCGATATAGGATATTTGTGACATGAGCCTTGATGAATAAGCCTCCGTCCGTATTGAAACGAGTACTGTACTGCCTGATTCGGTCTTGATATTTGAGCCTGTAAACAGCTATCTATCTGTATCATAGAAGTTTCTGGTCTCCATGTACATTACTACCCCAAATAAATTTCTTGCCCTCCTCCCTACATCCATTCTCTCCAATCGAAAACCCAGCCAGTCAATTCTAACCAACCACATCACCCTTTCCAAGATACCCAAATAATCCTTCATTCATTCTTTCCTTCCCAGCTCTACAATCCTTTCTTCGCCATTTACGAGAATCAAAGACCGATCTCATAAACACGTCTATATTACAAACGCGGTGTGGTGTGTATAGCGAGTGTGAGTTAGGTTTTAAACGTGGCGGAACTAGATATGGTTATAGTATCTCAAGGCACAAAATACTACCAATCACCTCGCAATCACAATTGAGTAGAAGAAATTCACCAAAGGATGAAACCAATGCATTGCATTGCATCATGCAAAATCTTCGTACCACCAGTAGGTAGGAGCGAGATAACTAACGAGCGCCATCTAGAGCTAGCCAAGCAAACCCCCAATGTCTTGCCCCACCCCTACGCACGAAAGAATAGCTAGCCAGCCCGGCATCCACTAAAAGAAAGAACAACTCCTGCGACAGCTCCTTCCTCGAGTGTCATTTACGCCATTGTATTTTTATCAATAATTTGCATTTCCATTTCCATGTCCCTTTCCATTTTCCCAATACTCCACACGCTAAATACCACGGGATTTTGTTTCGTAAAATTCATGAGGCTGGTCTCTCAGAGTTGAATATCGTCGTCGGGGAGGGGAGCGCAGAGGTCGGTGATAGACTCGCCCATGGGTTCTGAGGAGCCATATTCGTCTTCAGAACCGTTCCAGTCTGTTGTTGTTAGTTTAGGTAAGAGGAGGAAGATATTTAAACTTACCGGAAACTTCTTCGTCTGCTTCTTCGACTATGAATTTTTTGAGGTTGGGAATAATCGCTAATGTGTGTTAGTGGATATTTTATGAGGGAGAAGGATTGGCTTACAATCTCTCATATTGAAGTACTTAATTCCTTGCGGGTCATCTGCCTCTAGAATCTCGAAAAACGGCGACGCCTTGCTAATAACCTCATGAATATTAACTAGCGTCGCCCTTACAACTGTCTGGCGCGGTCGAATATATGTCTCATGTAGGTAATTGAGGCAATCAATCGCTAGCTTCTGCACACCCTCAAAAGCCGTAATTGTGTCGTCAGAATCCTCGGATGATTCTTCGGGGCTGTTGGCGAATATGAAATCGTACAGGAATTGCTCGGTATCCGTCCGGACTCCACTGTCGAAGTGAGTCAGTAGGCTGGGCGCCCAGTTACCGACGTTATCAAGACATGTGGCGTAGACCTCCTCGAGTGTGACATGGCTGTTTTCGGAGATGGATTGCAGACCCATGATATCTTTGAAGAAGTGCAAGAATGCCCAGCCTTCCGAGTTGTCAACATGGCTGGCAGCTCGGGCAATATGACCTATCAGCGCCAGCGCCCTATTCGAGTCTGATTCCGAGTGCTCGATGTAAATGACTGCGGCTTTGAGGAACGGACTGCAAGGGTAGGCAGTCACACCTTTCCGAGTCCCGTGCGAAAGAGCTTGGTAGATATGGAAATCGATGGCAGAATCGAAGTCCGCTGGCCACTTCAAAAGAGTGATAATAATTTGCCTCGTTGCCAATGGATTCTGGTGGATATGAAGAAGCTTCTCCACGCAGATATGAGCTTCGCTCCTGGTCCAGTGCTGTGTGAGCTGAGCATATTCCGATTGCGCAAGCGGGATTGGTGCCGCAGCCAGTGCTAAGTCAAGTCTTGGGGCCCTGTCAGGCACAACCTTTTCTGAAGGATCGCAAGTTTGCAACAGCTTTAACAGAAGAGTGATGACCGCCTCGTAGTTCACGGGCCGTGTATTGACGCGCTTGTTGACGATGTTGAGCATGCGTGAAAATTGCGGAGTAAGATTCAGCAGAGGGTCGGCGTTGACAATATCCAAAGTTCTGTGCAAGAAGCCTGTGTCCAACAGGAGAGTTGCTTCTGGTTCTCCCAAGCTAGCAATACTAGCGAGCAAACCAAAGTACTCTGGCCATGCGCGGCAATTTGTGTGAAAAATTTCCCAAAGCCTATCCAGATTCTTCATAAGTCTGTAGATCAACTGAGGGTCGTTATCGCTAGAGGCATCTTCCAATTCATCCTCACTGATCCCGTAAGCGTATGCCGCGTCCGACTTCACCTTATTCAACGCTGACAGGATGGATGAAGCAATTTCACCACGGACTAGGGACTCTGGGTTTTTTACAAGCAGCTGACGAAGGCCTTCCGGGTAACTGCAGAACCAGTCCAGGTAGTCTCTACTGCACTCTGCACACGCGTTGCAGATTTGCCGTATCGTTAGCATGAATGAAACGAAGTCGGGAAGTTCCTTAGTTCGAGAAACGACCTGGTCGAGGTGATGAAGAGCAACAAACAGAGCCCTTTTTTCCAAGTTGTGAGTAGAGGAACATTGGCCTCCGTTGATCTTCTTTATGTTCGAGAGCATCTTCGAAACGAAATTGACGTGCGAAGAATCGTACAAGCAGTACTTCCGCATCAGAAGCTCGTTCTCCTGGGCGATGTGGTTCGCAAACGTCGGTGCTAGGGGTAAGCGAACCGGACTGGGCAGCTTAGACTCCTCCAAGGCCTGTTTTTGCGCCGCGACCACTGATGAACGCTGATAAAAAAGCATATATGCACTGTAGCTCTTCTCATACGCCATAGTACCGCTGTCGATAGGTCCGCGAGATTCGAGGCCTCCGAAGCAAGCCGCCTCCATGTAATTGGGGTCCCAGGATGATACGGTGTCATCATTGAATTCGACCCAGTTGTCCTTCTCACTTGTGGAAGGTCTCTCACGGATGAAAGAATAGTAGTGTCCTGACTCCGCAGTTCCAGCATGAACAAGAACGCCAACCAGTTCAAAGACATCTTCTGGGGTTTCTGCAGAGCTATCCATCAGGTGCTCCACCTTGAAAGGACGCATGTCGATCTTGTCAGGAAATGAGAAATGGTCGTTGATTTTACTTCGCTGCAGGGTACGCAGGTTGAAGTCGAATCTCTTCAAATGGAAAATCAAATTGTCAGGAATATCTTTCAAACATGCCCTTGACGAAACAAATTAGTATAAAACGTTACAAGAGAGGATGGGCGTACCTTTTGACAGCATCAACATGACGATCGCACGTCGAGCACTTATATTTGTTGTCTACAAGGTTTATCAGCCAAGGTTTCATGGGGCCCCGAGGGAGTACTAACCGCCTTCCATAATCTCGCCATCGACATAAGCTTGCAGACTCTCTTGCAGGCACGTCTTACCCTTAATATCACACTGAATAGCCGAAAACGGTTCCAGGCGCTCGGAAATATGAGGACATTCTTTCGACTTCACTTGCTGTACTAGTTGGCCACCATAGAAACCCCGGAACTGTTTCTTTGCATCCGGGGCAAGAATCTGGCTCTCCCAGCGATCAAAAAGTAGATTGTAAAATTCATCGACATCCATCTGAATGTTGACATCAATATTGGTCTCCTCATAGGTACGGATAGACCCTGCGAGACCTTGTGGATCTACAAATCTTGTGAGTGTGTTCTGCATGTGACTGAATAGGATCTGCGTTTGGGAAAGAAGCTTCTGAGAATCTTCGCCATCAGCCACTGGGGCAGTCAACATGAACTCTCTGAAGGATACATTCATGAAGAGTTGTGTAAATAGTGAATTTAGGTAGCATGTATTTGAGAGATTCTTGAGCCCAACATAGCCAGTGTGGGATCTGATAGACTTGCTCCTGTCGAACATGAATGGGAGCTCGTAGGTGTATGGGCCTAGGCATCTTGTAGTAAGCATCAAGACGAGATCACAATAGGGCGACTTAGTCGTACCATCCTCGATTGCTTCATCATGAACCACAAGACTCTCCAGAGAGGCCAACACTTCATTGTACTGTGTAGGATCATCTTTCACCAGGAAAAATACGGTCTCAGACATCGTATGACGAGTTAAAGGATTAAGCAAGGGAATTTTCGGGACGAGGATCTCATCCAGTTTGGGAATTGTGCTATCAATTGGGGGGAAGAGGTGTTTCCGAAAGAGCTCGGTCCCAAGCGAGCTATGCCTGTTAGCAGTGATCAGGAGTGAAGAATGTCAAGCCGTACCTGCATGACAAGTCTTGCTGAGAAGCCTTTGCAAAGGACGCGCCGCAGAACAAAAGATTGATCAGGCCATTAGTAACTCTATCCATGCTATCTAAATTTCCAACGATCTGAAGAAAGATTAGCTACACACTGCCAACCAAAGAGGATCGGCCTACCTCTCTACTATCATGCGAGAGTAACAGGAAGCCCCATTGCTTCATGAGGTCCCCAAGGTTGAAGAAGTGGATGTCCGATCCCGCTAGCTTCTTGAAGAGGGTAAGAGACAGAGTTAACGTGTCGTCACATTGTTCAGGATAAAGAGTTGCTTCAGGGATTAGGGCGGATACTAATGGCCAAAAGGCCGTCGCAAAATCCATACTTGAGACTTGAGCCAGGCTAAAATACGAATTAGTAACAAAACTAAGATAGGCTGAAGGGTAATATCGACCTGGGGGTGAAACTGCACTTGTTGGTGATATGCTTCACGATGCTTTTTCTGGTGACCGAATGGGGATCTTCTAGTAGAAGGTCTCGAAGCAATGAAGTGTTCTCGAGATGAGAAACAAACAACTTCCACAGCTCGGGGCTGTAAAGAGAAGCTTCTAAAATAGCTTCAAATATCCTAAATACCAAATGTACAGAGTTTTGCGTAGTTCGAGTTAACCTCGAGTCTTCGAGCATTTGCAACAGGCGCCTCAGAAGAACCTCGTCAAGAAGGGTTGGGATAGTTAAGGGCAGTACTGGTTCTGGGGCAAATTAGATGGCGTACTTGAGAGTTTGGAGGGTCCATACCTTTCAAGAGCTGCACCAAACAATCGATCAGGTGCAGTGCAAGGCAGTCTCTCAGCTCATCATTTGCGCACTCTCGAAGGACCTCCGGGTCGGAGATAGCTGCAACTATGAGAGATACTGCTCTCGTTAAGATGGCCTCATCAACAGCCCCCTTGTCATGTCAGTGGAACCGACAAGCAGAAAGATTTGAGGGTATGTACCTTGTGGGATTGACTGATAATGTGCTGGCGGAGGGCATGTACCGCATACAAAGACTTGAACGGACGGGCCCGTGGAAATATCTCAGAATATGCTTTTTCTGAGTCAAAATCCCTCAATATTCGATCGTAAATCGGGAACTGGACTAGGAAATAATATATCTGTCTCATCATGTTAGACACGAATATAGGGAGATCGCGATGCCCTTACCTCTTGCGCCACAGTTTCATGCATACTTAGATACCCCCACAGTTCATCGAAATGTTTCACAATCTCGGCTTCGAGCGTACTCTTGCTGCCATCAGAAGGGGAGGTAGGCCCATCTGCATCTTCACGACTCTGAACCAACACGAGGCCCTTGAGGTCTAATTCTTCGATCGATGGACAAACATCGGCTTCGCTGGATGTGATCTCCTTGCCTCCATTATACACTTTGTAGTTTTGGAAGCCAGTGGCCTTCTGTAGGCTTGTGAACAAAGATGCTGGTGTGTTCAATTTGCCAAGAGTCAGATGCCGTATTTCGGTGTGCGTATTGCCGTCAAAAGACTGATATTTGACTACCAAGAGTTCGCCTTCATTGCTCTTCGAGATTAGGGGTGGAGGAAACCTAGGTTTGGGAACGGAAAATTGGGGCTTCGACTGGTAAGCCTTGAGGAACTCGCGTAAAACGGCTAGGGATCTGGCGAATATTCTCTCTTGGTCTTGGAATTGAGCTTCAGAGGGAACAATGACCATGCCATCATCATCGCTGCTCGAGGTTTCGTCACTAAATGCTTTAAGTTTCGATGCTGCCTCTGCGAGCTGCTTTAAGCAACGGCCGACAAGTGCGAGGTGAATGTCTCGAGCTCTAGTCCGAGGGATAGACGAAATGAGTGCACTATCAACGTAGACCTCAACGATGGTGCCGATTGCGGCAGCATCAATAGTATTTGGAGGCGCACTCAGAATCATCTGCCATATTTGTTGAACGGCAGGTGACTCGAATGATTGATCTTCCGAAAATTCATCACCTATCTCCCCAAGCCAAGAACTCACATATGCTCGCGCAAAGTCCAATGCCCCAGTGGTGAAACGATCAGGTGGGAGAGTCGGAAGATACTGTCTAAAACACGTTGTAATGAACGCATTGTTGGGCGACTTTTTGATGGCCGTGTTGAGAATACTCCACGACGTGTTCTTGTCGGTGACACTTCTCGACTTGATGCCAACGAGGTGGTCCCAGAGCCGCCGCCCTAGATCTTCCGAGATCGTATTTGGTTCATTGATAATTATCATTAGAAGCAGTTCACGGCGAGCGGCACTTGCCGGGCTGTTCATGACAGATGGATGTCGTTCTCCGGTGACGGCTTGTTCTAACTCCTCGACTAGTAGTTGGGTGAGGCCGTGCTGCGTGGTGAGAGTATGCAAGTCGGTTGGCTTATGCCGAAGTAGAATCGTGTTGATGACGCAAATACTACCTGCAGCAGTGGAGGTTCTTGATGATACATCGTCTATGCAGCTTTGATATATGGTTTTCCGAACATCAGTGGCTGGACCGTGCACGAGGAGCTCTCGGAGCCGTGAAGCAGCGAAGGCTTGGATGTCTGGATATCCAGTCGGAGCTTCTGGTGTGATGATTGACGACTCACGAATGAGTCGTATGCACAGGTCGTATGGTGGTGCATCGATGTATTGAATACCCTCAGTTGACCCCTTGTTAACGAAATGGCGAAGAAGAATCTCATAAAATTCGCGCATTGGAAGTGTAAATGCCTCGATAGGGAGCTCGCACGTCTTTTCACACATGCGGAGGAGACCCCGGTAGTCAAATAAATTTACAACTTGCCTGACCATTCGCAGAATGGCCTCCACCACTCTTGGGTCTTGGCTAGTCATCACTGTTTGCCAAATCAAGTCTGTCAGCTCCGGTGGGTAAGTCTTTGTAGCAATCAAGAAGCCCAAAATGCTGTTGCTCTCATTGATTATTTCGGGATGCGATCCGATGCCAACAATGTACTCGACAAGCTTGTTCTCGAGAATGAACTGGGTGTAATGAAAAAGGAGAGGATTTCGAGGTGGCTCGGCGGCATCTTTGTGGGCGTTATATAAACTGAGTAAGTCTGTGCACATAGTTGTGACTCCAACTACGCGTAATTGCATCTGTGTCGATGTGATGAGCTTCTTCAAGATGGTAAACCTCCAGTCCACAGAGATAATCTTCGGCAACATCTTAAGAGGAAGTTCTGAATGCTCTACGCGGTAGCGCTCGGTCATATCTTTAGTCGCCTCGCTATTAGACACAAGCGCGTTACGTAGGATAGAGCTTAGACTAGACAAGTAACAATGTGCAGCATCAGGGGTGAGGTATGTGACATGCTTCTCAATGATGTGTTCGAGACCCAGAGCCATGACTTTGAAGAAGTCAAAGCCTTGGGATATTTGTTCCCGAGCATGTCGAGCCCATTCTTGATGGGTTGGCTGCTCCACAACTCTCGAAGCATCGGCGACGATCTTAACGGCCAAGCGACAAGGCTCTACCAACTTGTCGATGATCCTTGGAACTTGTGATATCAGCATTAGTTGACCCTTGACCAGTTTGGTAAGATTCGGGAGTGATCCGCCTTCTTCTTGAAAGCTATTGGTCATGAGCAAAGCTGTTTCGTCCCAGTTCCAGCGATAGTGTGTGTCCAGATTACGGCCAATGTGCTGTGTTTCATCCTTTTTCAGTAGCCACGCATAAGCCTTCATCATCGGAAAGCCTCCAAGGTCCGGAATCTCGTCGGTGTCGCCTTTCTGAGCGTGGTATGCCAGTGTTTTGACGTCCATTCCTACAAATCTACCAGCAAGTCGGGCAAATTGTGAGAACATTTCTGTCACTGCTTGGCGGCCATCTCGACGATTGTGCAGCCAACTCCCGAAGAATTTGCTTCGATAACTCAATGCCCATATGATCTGGGGGAAGGCGATCCAGAAATCTCGATGCTTTAGATATGATTCGTGAAAGGTTCGATAATCGTTTGCATAATTCAAGTAGCTTTCCATCCAGTCGCGAAATCTGCAGAAGCCATCTTCATTGCTACACTCATCTAGGAAAGTTAGCAATTAGATAAGAGGTTGTGGTATTGGGTGGACCGTACCAAATTGCATATAATTTTTAAGGCTCGCAACGGCATCCACCAAAGATTGGTCATCTAGAAATGGGAAATCCAGCATCGGGTTGGTGAAGACTGTATCCCCGTCTAGAATAGCCACTGGTGGGCTCCGACTTCCAAAGTCTCCACCATCATCACTTATAGTTATTAGCTCGATTGAAGGACTGCGTCGCTCCGACGGCGATGAAGAAGGCGTCTCGATAGCTGGAATTGTTGACAATGCATCACTCTCTGATTCCACGCTTGCTCTTGTAGCCACATCTTCTCTGCTGTTGGTCATCCTGGATGGAGAAGGCGGGGACGAGGGTATTGACTCTAGAGGGCGGACAGTTCGGAGGTTGATGGTGACCCTGCTGGAGGTAGGCTCTGGCGGTGGTGGACCTTCGGAAGGCATTCGGGTTGGGGTTTGAGGTAGGGGGGGAGGCTCAGAGTCGGGATTTGTACTGTCTTCCCGCAGAGGACTGGAATCAGGCACCTGGTCTGAATGGCGGGCGGTATCGACAGATCTGCTGCGTGAGTCTGGGCGTGATACACGCTGCCGTTTTCTGGAGGAGGTTACGGATTCGTCGAATGGATTGGGTCGAGTTGAGCAAGGCTCTGAAGAGACCGCACGTTCTCGCGACAACTCGGCAGCCTCGCGGTCCATTTGGCAGATACAGAGCACGGTAGAGGGGGTAGGTGAAGTCGTGGATGGGATGGGGCGGAAGGGCCACAGCAAAAGCTCAAAAGCCACTTAATCCCAGGGTGAATCGCATAGGGATGTGATGAAGCTGTGACTTTCCATACGCGTCGGGCGTGGAGGTAGTGGTAGAGGTAGCGGTAGAGCTGCCAATATGTGGACACGGGATTATTTGAGGTTGAAGATCAACACTTTAGGCGACGAGACGTGAGCTCCCTCGTCATAGGGTAAGGTAGACAAGGCTCCGCGTTTCTTGGGCAGAATACGCAGGGCGGGTGATGGAAGGCAGAAGAGGACGAAGGTGGGCAGAAAAAAGGAAAAATAGGGCAAGCTGTAGAAGGGCAAGTTCTGTAGTGAAAGAAGCAGAGCCGTCTAGACTCAGGATCAGTGAGTGGTCTTTCTATTGACTTTCGAGGGAGGGGCACAAAATACATGTTGGACATTCAAGCTTCATCGGCTTTAGCACACATTGGGGCTTAGCGCCGTTTCCTTATCGTTAAGGAGGGGAAAATTACGAGGTGGAGGAGGTAAATATGTCTGTGCTGCTTGATTACTGAGCGAACCAATTAGAAGCTCCATTTGGTAGGCGGTGAGAACAGGATTTGGTATAATATTGTTGTCAAGTAAAACTCATATTAGTTCACAGTAATTCACGACCTACATTTTTAATTGAGGTTCACCACCAGTTGTTATATAAGTCATTACACCAAGGCCACTGTAAAGCATATCTGCATTGTCCTCCCAATACCTAAGGAGGTAGAGTTATGCAGTGTTAGTGCGTGTAATCTTGATATTAGTGAGGTTAGTTTCGCATAATTTTATACGACGCGTCTTTAGGATATTTTTGCCTCTTAGAAAAGCACCGCCTTTATCAATTGTTCCTTTCCACTAAACTCCCGTAGCTTTGACCTTACGGCCTGCCTGCCTTTTTAAGAAAACATTTTGCTTGCAGGAAGGGGTGCTTGGGTGCTGCAGTTCTGCAAAGGAAATCATCTCCAAAGTCCGCAACCATGGAGCGAAAAACAAAGACCGTATTCCAACTAGATTCTCCATTCACGCAGATTCAATGGTAAGCCAGATTCTTCCATCTCAATCAACTATAGCTTCTCATACATCCTAGGCCAGAAATCAATCCAGAGCAGCAAGATACTCTCCTTGAACTTCTATGCAGGTAGGCAGAAATCTAATTGATCCAAAAGAGGCAAAATAACCTAATTCCTGCAGTATACTCTCCCCAATTGGGAAACACCGCTTGAAATACGCCGCGCCCTCGAAAGGGAAGCGTGACAAGAAACGGAAGAGGAAGGAAGCAAAATTGGCCGAAGTCCCTTTGGACACATCGAAGCCTCCAGTACCTAACATCTCATCTTTCGTGGTGGTGGGGCTCAATAGCATCGTTAGACACCTCGAGTCTTCCTCCAAAGCTTCCAAGCCAGAACAAACAAGGGATTATTTTATTGAGGTCATAAAAGCCGACGAGCTCGCCAAACCGCAACCATCCACACACTTCTCGGCAATCTTCGTCCCAATATCCACTCAACCATCAATTCTCAACGCCCAGCTCCCACGACTCATCGCAACGGCATCGAAAGAACACCAAGGTCTCCCAGCGACACGGCTGGTCCAACTACCGAAAGACTGTGATGCTCGACTGTGTGAAGCTCTGGGGCTTTCAAGAGTATCATTCATTGGTCTCTTAGAAGGTGCACCACATTCTAAAGCCTTGGTGGAATTGGTCAGGAAGTCTGTATCGGAGATCGGAGTACCGTGGCTTCAAGAGGCAAAAAAGGGGAAGTATCTGCCCGTTAACATTAACGCCATTGAGACGCTTGCACCGCCCGTGAAGGATAAAGAGAAGAAGATATCTTGAAGCAAGACTTGGTGAGCTAAGAGTTGTCCAGAAACATACCCCTGGACCCTGGGCTGCAAAATTCCACCGATGCTTATCGCAAACAATGAAGGAAAGAAGAGTTTCTACGTGAACAAAGGTGACACAGTATCACGTGACGATCCACACTCCCCAGATCACTTACTTGCAGGACTCCATTCCTTTATGGTTCATTGCCAATTGTAAGACATACCAGGATGCAACTTGGGACTAGCTCGCAGAAACTTGCTACATGAATAAATACCCGTCCAAATCACTCCACATTGACTCTGTTCTTGTGTTTGCCGGCCGCTTCAAAATGTGAATAGCAGTTGGAAGAACGACCACCGACTCACTCCGCACCTGAAAAGAATTGATTGTCTCGAGCGCTCTCCGAATGCTGCACTCCAGTGCAAGCCTCCACACCACACCACTTCCATCAAGTGGGCAGCAGAACGACAAGCATTCTATCTGACAACTTTATTCCTGTCCTTTGACTCTGCGTGCACATCTCTTGTTTAAGCATACGTCTCTGAACAAAACATCCTACCCACGTTCTTCTATATTTCCGGCAGCTCTTCAACGAACAAATACCTCTACGGGCAATCACCAACAAACCTATCATCGGGTCACCACTCACACCTCATTCCGTGAAAAGTAACTCGGCAATATGTCAACGAAAGACTCCTCTCAAGGAGGCCAGGGCTGTGGTAGTAGACGAGGAGGTGGAGGAGGCGGGGGAGGTCGCGGCAAGTCAACTAGCTCTAGTCATGGTTATACCACTGAGCAACTTGACGTTCTTTTGACATTCCTTGGCTCTGGTCAACGTGAAGGTTTTATTACAGGACCTGGGATGTGTCGAGGAAGCGACCACTGGCGCTCTCGCGGTTACGATATAACTCCTACTTTAAACGCAGCCTCGCCTGATCCCGCGTTGGATACTCCTGTCGAAACAGCAGCCTTACCTGAAGCCTCACGCACAGCCGGAGCTCGAGACAGGTCTCTTAGCACCGTTGATTTCGCTCTCTCATCATCTGGATGGAACCCGGACAGCCAACCAGATCGTTCTTCCGCACCGGCTCTTCACAATACCAACGGTCCCCCTTCATCCTCCATCCGCCATCGTCCTCGTCCCTCTAACACCGCATCCGGCTCTCTCATCGACACTCTAATGGATATGGATATCGACAAACCCTTCACTTCCACCTCCGATGTTACTTCCCTTGACCGAGCCTCTACTTCTACTTCCACAACTCCCCAGGCATCTTCTCCTAATGAGATGGCTCTCGACTATCCCCACCCGTCAATTTCTTCCGCCGCAACGCCCGCCAACACTGCCTTCTCCTCGCCCAGCAACCGACTCCCGCCTCCCACTGCTATGTTTCGGGATGATGAGCTTGTTGGGTTGCACAAGCCTTGGAAAGGTTTGGCGGCTTCAATGTGGAGTGCCAAAAATGAAGGCAATTAGATCAGATACTAGTGATGGACAAGCAGTTTAGATTGTTGGGACTTTTCGGCTTATTCTCGATTCCGGTTATGATTGGGGTGGACTAATGGCATGGGGAAAATCTGGTGCTTTTTATTCTCCTTGATTTTCGAAGATTCTGTGTTGGGTTTGGGGACTTTAACAAGGCTGATCTTGGTTGCTTTGCCCTTTTTATTTCTTGATGTCATTGATACCTGCTTATTACTTTCAATTCAACGGACGCTTACTTTGCGAACAATTGCATGTGTCTGCATGTACGGGATCCTACATCTAATTTTTGTGCTATCCTTTAAGACATGTGTGAAAAACTCCATAGACCTGCCATATAAATCGAATGTAAATGAAAAGACTTCTGACCTTGTAAAAGGCATGAATGCAATCTCAAATGATACTTTTGACTATCCTAGTTTTATGTTAATTTATCTCAGCAGAAATCTAAAGAACTACTGGAGATTCAATGAGAAATAAAACGAAGTTGAAAGTGGAAGCTTCCGCTAATGTGCTAGCTGGCTTTTAGAAGGACTCCAGGGGCTCTAGCGAAGCCACGCTGATCAGCTTATTAGACGGAAGATTTGCCTTTACCCTGACACTTGTTTGCTTTCAAAGGCTGTCGAGTAAAGCTCTTGTCAGTCATAAGTCTCAACATGTTTTTACCAAGCCACTACACCTAGCAAGGAGAACGAATCAATCCAGCCGACTAATTAGAAAAGGGTTTATTTGTTTACATTATCTATTCATTACTCACTCGTCAAACCGTCATGGAAATTGGTTCTCAGAAAACACAGCCAACCCATCAATCATTCAAACAATGTTATACTATAAAGTAGCTGGCGAAACCCACTCTTTGACGTTCTCCAATTCACATTCCCTATGAAGTCTTCGCTCTCAAATTGAATACAACTAAACACCAAGTGTCATATCAACAGCCGTTTGCTTCCAGATATTTGAAATAAAGCTGCCCACCTACTTGGCAAACTATCTACTCCCACAAGAACGCCAACCCTTTGCCCACTTCAATGTCTCCACCCAAAGACCCCAAAGATTGGCGCTTTCCTTCCCCCTCATCTTCGAACACAACGGATGCTGATTCTGAATCCCGCGATGGCAGCAATGGAAGGCCCGATACCAATCCAAAAAGCTCCACCCCCACCTCAACCTCCGCCAGCACCAACCGACAATCCCCCGCCCCCAACACGTCGAAATCCAAACGACCCTACATACGCCACGAGCGGAGTAAGTCCATAAGAGCTGATGCCGCGGAACCTAAAATTCAGGGCCTCACGACACCCGAGGTGTCTCGAGTTTGGGGGAAAGCTACAGCAGGAAGAAATTCGAACACACAGACTATTGTCGAGGAAGAGGAGGAAGAGGACGAGGAGGATGGACATAATGATAAGGGTGCTGCGAAGGGGAAGGGTAATGGTACTTCTAAGTAACTTCTAAGCTGCTGGGGTTGGATATAGTACTATCGAGGCCCAAGTTTTGGATAATGAAGAAAGTTGTTTCATCTAGCAATCGAGCAAATGATCCGTGGGCATGAATATACTGGGAGATACTTGTGAGATTATTCTTTTGCTATTATTGGGACCCGAATAAGTCTGCGTTAGGACCTGCTGGTCTTCGAAGAATGAAATCTCTTATGAACTATAAGTGGTTATTATAATCATCACTAAACAAGAGATTAATTATAATACCAGTTAATGTTGGTATACACATAGTGCACTGGTCTGGCCTAGTAATCTGTGGTTTTCATGGTTGTATTTCTAGGTGTAGAAGAGGTTCTAGCTAAGGCTGCGGCGATGAGGTGAAGGCCTCGTCGCTGCTTAGTCATCGGTACGAGTACTAAGGTCACGTGGTACGTGTGACATACATCCCAACACTAGCCTATAAAAGGGTTTACTAGATCGGAAATAGACCACTAGAACTGTATATAAAGGGCCTGTTTTGTGTGCTATCTATAAAATTACACCCTTTCTAATTTACATAGGAAACAAGTTCAGCAATCAACATGGATAACGTATTTTAGAATCCATGATAATATCTACCATGGCGTTAAAAACCAGGATGTCTACCATTGGAGACATGCGATAGGAAAGTCATTGGCTAATTTTCAAGTACAGTATCGGAAATATCGGCAGAATGTCACTGGCCACGACTGTATGGCCAGACACTTTTGTTGAATATATGAAGTGGCCCCATTGATAATGACCACGTCATGAGTACACTATCCGTTGTCCGGGACTGTCAGTTCAACTCTCAAATATAAAATGCAGCCCTATCATCTGTCGCTTTCTGATATCAAATTTTTGCGTGGTCTCTGCGATGAATTATCAACGACAACATGCCGCTAGGGCTGAGTCCCAACCCAATCATGTATCGCAATCAATTGCAGCGCAGTCCGAGCCTATCGTCACAAATGGCGGCGAAGTTGAGACTCAATCGCCAGCATTGGTAACCAAAGTATCTTACTGGAGCCTCCCAAATAAAGGCCAGCTGGCTCTTATGTGTGTTGCTCGAATGGCAGATCCCCTCGCAGCAACGTCCATACAGGTACAAAGGTGCAAACCTTCTTACAGTGCGACAATCTAGACTGACGTGGTAAACCAGACGTACATGTACTTTCAGCTAAGGTTCTTTGATTCATCAGCTTCTGCAACTACTATCTCAACTCAAGCGGGCGTAATCATTGGGGCGAAAACAGCAGCGCAGGTCTGCACGGGGATGTTATGGGGTCGGCTTGCTGATTCTGAATTTGTCGGGCGTAAAACTGTGTTGTTGATAGGCTTGCTGAGCTCTGGCATCGCATGTATTGGGTATGGGTTTTCCACGACATTTATCTCGGCGGTTCTATGGCAAGTCTTTGGCGGAGCTATGAGCAGTAATGTGGGCATCACGAGATGTGTCGTCGCAGAACTCAATCCGGAAAAACGGTGTGTAACTTTGCCTGCCCATAACATGTGTTTTGTACTGAACTCGCTCAGTTATCGTACTCGGGCCTTGTTGCTCCTTCCATTATTTGCAAGCGCAGGTATGCTGATCGGCCCTCTGGTCGGAGGGTTCTTGAGTTTCAATCCTGGTGAAGGTCCATTCAAGGCATATCCATATGCTCTACCAAACGTATTCGCAGGGACGATCTACGCCGTTGCAGCTCTTGGGGTTTTTTGGGGGGTTGAGGAGACTCTCGAAGGCTTCCATCACGAAGGAAGTTATGCGCGACGACTCTGGAGAAAGATCCGTAGCATCAAGCTTGGCAGCGCGTCCGAAACCCACCACGATTACACGTCTGTCAGTACGTCGGAAAGAGACGGCTTATATCCCATTGAGGGCTTGTCGTCACCTCAGAGCTCGGCCAGTCCGCCACCGGTGATACTTAAGCCAAAAGCAAAGAGAAAACTTCCCTTCTTGCGAATCTGGACTCCAAATGTATTGTGCACAATGCTCGCCCATTTTATCATTGCTGGGCATCTGGCTACATTTACAAATCTCTGGGCAATCTTCCTCAGTACACCTGCAGGAA